ACTAAAAAAAAGACATAAGTTAATATGATAATTACAGAAAAAATAGATTTTATGATATATTTTAATTTGAAGGAATAAAATTGTTAATAATATATTTTTTACTAACATAATTAATAATACATAAGATAATATAATTAATAAATAATTAATGTGTATATATTTATAAAATATAAGATTAAATATGTTTATCAAAAAATATGTTTATAAAAAAAATAACAAGATACATATCATATAGACTCTCACACTCTCCCTTTTTTCTCCAAAAGCAAAAAAATTTTACTTTTTCCAAAACCATGGTTTTGACCCAAAACCATGGTTTTAGTTTTTAGAGGGGGTGTTTGGGTGATTGACACCCCAAACCATGGTTTGGGTCCCCAAACCATGGTTTGGGGTGTCACCCAAACACACCCTTAGACGAGGAGGAATATTATTTTTTTAATATTTTTATTTCACTGAGGAAAGAAGTTCTTTCAAAGAACACCAACTATTGAAAAGAGATGAAAAAATGGCTTTCAGAAGAAGCTTTAGCTGCTAATTATTTGCCTATTGAAACTAAATTTCTTATCAAATGATCTCGTTCACTCTTACTTGTCTTAAAAAATACATAAATAGAACAAAATTTATAACTTAAAAAAAATATTTACAAATTATTCATTACTGGAGAGCATTTCGCAGGTTCAAACTTACAGTCGAGTGCGTGCGCACGCGAAGCCCTTCTTGTGAGAAAAGGAAAAAAGGAAGCCGATGTGATTTAGGGTGTGTTTGGTTTGAGGGGAGGGAGGGGTGGGGAAAGGGAGGGGAGGGAGATTTTAACCTCACCTTGTTTGGTTTGATTAAAAAGGAGGGGAGGGGAGGGTATCTAATGATCCCTTGTTTGGTTGGGAAAAAACAACAACAACCAAAGAAGAGAATTCAAATGCACGCCTTGGCAAAACAAGACATCAGTTATCTATACTGCGTATACCAACGTTGGATCCCCCAAAATCCTATTATTGTCTGAGAACCATCCTTATTAAATACTCCACACACGAGACATGTTATAGGTAAAGTCACTTCATGAACCATAGAAAAGTTTCATCAAAATACAAACAAACTCCAATGAAATCCACATTTAACAGAACCACACATCACACCAGAATTAGCTTATCCACGAATTGGACCAAGTTCTGAATCCCAAGCAATCCCCATGGCTAGAGTTGGCCAGAATACAAAAGCCTTGCAACTTCAAAAGAAATAAAGGCATCGATGCAGGCATATTTTACCTGCTCAGGAGTAAGCCACAGATTGTCCCATCTGCTTCTGCTGATACTCTTTGGCTTCTCAATTTCCTTCCCAAGAACACGCAGAGCCAGAGTCTTGAGCCCCGATTTCTTCAGTTCATTATTCCCCAGCTTGTCAACGGCCAGATCGCGCAGATCAACGAATGTGGCCACACTCAGTTCGTAGTCGCACACGAGTTTCTCCACATCCTCTTCGATCCCAACGCCCACGAAAGTGTGATTCGCGTTTGCGAGAAAATTGATCAGGGATTGGGGGATGTTTGGGGCGTGAAGGATTTGGAATATGAGGCATCGAGGGCCCACGCAGAGTTGTAATATGGCGACCGGATTCTCCATATTGCGGTGGAAATTCGGGCGCCATTCGACGTCGAGGCCGACGATAAGAGGTTGGGGAAGGGAATGGAGGTTGCGGGTTTCGGAGAGCCAGGAATCGACCATGGAAGGGGAGGAAGTGAGCAGTGTGTGAATGTTGTGAGTGTAGAAGGAAACATCGTAGAGATTGTGAGTGTCGTAGGGAAGGGCGTGGTCTACTATGGCGATCGACATTTCGGATTTGCAGAGAATCCAAGGGGACCGAGAAGCTTTTTGAATAGCGGATGAGGAGAGAGTGAACTTCCCAATGGAGACGACGCTGGCTCAGAGTCAAAATTCAAGATATATTTATCATTTAAAATTATTGTTACCATTTTTTAAAATTCTTAATGATATTGTATTTTACGTTGTTTTCCTATTGCGATTTGATTTGGATTAGATTGGTTCGGCTTTTCTCGATATCATTGTTGTTTTTTTTTAACCTTTATATCATTGTTGATCGGCAATTTTAAAATTGTACATTAGTATACACCCAAAAAAAAATTGTAAATTGATATATAAAATACTACCTCATATCCTTAATATATAAGATTGTTTGACTTTTATTTTTGTTCTAAATATAATATCTTAATTCATTTTATCTTTCACATTTATCTATTTTTTTAAGATAATCTTCATAGTAATGATAATTTTAGCAAATACACTTAATTAGCAAGAATATTGTAAGAAAGACAACACATATTTATTATAAATAACTAACTTAATTAATTTCTTAATCTACTCAAATTAGTTAACTAGTTTATATATTAAGGATCAGAGTAGTAATTATTAAAATTCAATAGGAACTGTTCATAATAAAAACTATAAATTATGCCGATGGAGACGCGTCTTCTGATTAAATTATGATATATAAAATATGTTTATTATGTATGGCTCTTCATTTACGTGAATATAGTCAAATCTTTTTAGATTGTCTAACACAACAAAATGGTAATCTGTCTAAAAAGTTGGAGATCTATTAGCAGTTAGAGTGATGGACTGATTAAAACAAGAAAAGAAAATGATCTACCTCATGCATCCACTAGAAATGGTTCGCATATATTGTCAGTGAAAGCATGTTTGTTGATTAGTACTAAGCCAATAAAAATAAAAGTTAAAATGATTACTTTACTAAGAGTAATATTAAAAAAAAAATACATGGAGAAAGGCAATATATGTGGAACCAACAATAAGCACTAATAATTTAATAAAGCTGAGTCCAAAAGCAACATTACCATTGCCGAAACAACACAAGGAAATTGAGGACTAATTTATACAAAGCGTAGAGGATTTGCTGCCTAATTTATTTATTCAAATTAAGCTTAAAAGATCATCATCGTGAATCTATAATCTCTTAGTATGGACATTTTTATGCCAAAGATTATGGTGAGATTTCCTATAAGAGACGGCGAAGAGTAATTAATTTTTAAATCAGATGTAAGACTCAAAAATTAAAGATCCAATTTAATTATTTACATGTAATGCAAAGCATTGGTGGTACAAGAGGGAAGCTGCTGTCTCTTTTTTTTTTGGCTAAAACATAGGCATTATTTTATTAGAGGTAATCCTATTTGAGGTACTATCAAGTGTTGAATGTGAATACTTCTCTTAGTAAAAATTTAAACCTTAATTTGTCACGTTGTAAAAAATTAACATATTCTATTAGACCCGACCCTTATCGGTCACTGGCTTTTAATCATGGCCTTTTCTTTATGGAGACAGTTGGGTTGCTCCTTTATGGTTTTTATTATAATATTAATAATTAATAATTAATATTTGATCCAGTTTGATGGAGTATGACTGGGTTAAACAAATGGATCCGTTTTCAGGACGGCTTTTTTTTTCTTAAAAAAAAGAGGCCGGATTTGTATTCCATAATCACAGGTAGACTTTTACTGGGCTTATGTTCCAACCAGGCCTTTAAACTTTTTGACTGATTTTGACCCAAAAAACTAAGGATTTTCTTAGTTCGAGTTTGGGCCTAAACGAAAACAATTGTTATTCTTGTCTTTTATTTTAATTAGAATCTTTCCCAATTTTGGTAACTTATACGCCAGATTTTAGCTTGTTGATTTTTTCGGCCGACCAGTTTTAATTTGTTGTTAGCACTTGTCATTAGCATTTCTTGAACAACATTAAAATTTTGAAAGAACTTCTTTGGATTAGCATTAAACGATAGTTGAAATTAATTTCCATGTTACAGTTTATTATGCTTAACATTTTATCAAAACGGTTTAGGTCTCATAGAATAAGCTGCACCATGTTGGGATGTTCAATTTGTTTTATATTTGTATATTTTCGAAGAAGACCATGAGATTCAAAATAAAGTTCTGGCCAAAGAGAAAAGTTAATGATCCTATTTAAAGTTTTAAAATGATTATAAGTATTTTTGTAATTCATCAATATCTTTAATATTTATATGTGTTCCTGGACATTTTGCATTAGCCATTCACGTTAGTTAATTTGACTTCCGCTCCAGTGTCCATCAACTTTATCCCAATTCCAGAGATTTGAGGTCCACATAGACTTATATTTCTTCCTTATGTATAAAATAAAATGAAATAAGAAATAAAATAAAGAATAATTTCATACACAGAAATAATAATTATATTTCTTAATAAAACTTGTATACTACTAGATGATGAAACAATGTTATAATCATTATTATCCATAAATAAATTAAAATAGAGTAACATAGAATCGAAGGTGAATTAAATTATTATTTATTCACAGCTCGTGTCGCTTTTTTATCATTATTTCATCATCTAATATTAATTAACAATATACACATATCTATTTTAAATTTTCGGTAAAAAAAAAAAGGTCTCATGGTTTTAAATATTACTGTATCCCGTCTTTAATATAAGAGCTAGTTAAAAATTAAATTTGATTTTAAATATAAGATCTTAATCCACTTTATCTATCAAATTTATAATATTTTCTCTAAAATATTCTCATTAATTGCAAGGTGTTCTCACTAAGGGATATTTTTAATGACATAATTAAGTAGGATAATTTAGAAAACGCAACACAAATTTATTACAATTAACCAAGTTAATTAATTTTCTTAAGTTTTTCAAATTAGTTATGTGATAAGAACCTCAAGTTGTACATAGTTGTACGTAGGAATGGGGAAAGGGGATCTGATTTCTCTATATATTTTCACTCTATGTATGGAAAAGTTAAGCCATGTGATTATGGATGAAATTCATAGAAGGAAATGGCTCCCTATCACTTGGAAGGGAGAAAAAAAAAATCGTCCACCTGTTTTATGAAAAATTTAGAAATTCTTTTGATCTATAATAGGGGGGTTGCAAATTCTGTACTTGATAGGAAAGTGAAGGAGAATTACTAGATAAAGCAAATATGTTGAGCACCAAACCACCATTATATAATTATTTATTCTACCATAAGCCATCACACTTCTTCAAAACAAAACGACAAGGCAGAAGTACGAAAGAGAATCAAGAAATTGAAGCACTAGCCAATAGTTATGTTTCTGCTTTGCGTCTTCGTTTCGCCCTCTTCTTTAATATTATTTGATAAAAATTCCTTCAGGCCCATTGTCAAAGCTGATGTTGAAACCATGGAAGCTTTAAGGATGCTCAGAACCTGCATTTCTATGCATCAGTCTGATACAGAAGGCAAAAGTAAATTGCAGCAAGCATGCAAATAAATTTGATCATATTCAAGGGAAAACAAACCCAAACCATATAACTTCTTGTTTTTTCGTTCCAAACAGAATTTGCATCTCATTTGTTGTGTCTAAAGGTTAGAAGATACGTACCTCTTGTACCCCAATGCGGATTGTTCTTTCTTCCAAGTCATGGTGAGGCACCTTCAATTCAGTTAATAAGGATGATAGAACATGGTGAGATGAAAAGGGTTTCACAGACAGGTCATCGGCAACCATGAACTTGGTTCTGCTCTTTGCATATCCATTGCTTGATTTCCCCTCCGCTATTGGAGGCTTAGGGTCACACATTCTTACTCTTCTCACAACACGGAGATACAAACTTGCATCAGCAGTCAAATAATATGGACCAGTATCATGCTCGTTAGAACAGACACTTAACTCAGACGGATACTTTAGTTCATCTATAGGTACCATCTGGTTATCAACATTAAAATATGGGGCTATCATGAGGTTGGCGAACATGTTTTTTAGATTCTCTGACGTCAAGTCTACGGTTGAATCAAAATTGAACAAACTGTTATATAGTTTGTCGACACACAGCGCCCTAGAGTTTCCTTCTAAAACTCTTTCTACTGCTCCTAATGGGAATGTCAAGAAACTAAGAAGCTGGTCCATGAAATCTTCCTCAACCTGAGCAAAAAATATCTTGGACTTCGACTTTGACATCAATACGTTCATCTTCATCGTCCCAGTGCTCTCTCTGCCTTGTCTCTCAACAGTTATCTTGAACGAGGTTTCGGAATGGACAAGGTTGTGCTCCTTTCTTAACAATGAATCTGTGAGTGCCGTCTTCGAGATCAACAAGCACTTGAGTAGGTCCAAAATCTTCGAAAACATAATAAATTAAAGCATCAGGTGATGTGATATAAAGAAAATAAGATATATTTAATGTTTCCAAAGCTCAACCTCATTTGAACCAAGAACGATAGTGGATTCCTCCAGTGGACATTCAGAGCGTAGATTCTTTAGCAGACACAATGTTGTATTGAAATTAGCAGGAGTTACTGATAGATCGTCAGAAATAATAAAAGATGCCGTCTCCTTTACATAGCCTTCCCATTTATTATCTGCATTTTGGACTAGGTCTGAAAGAAGTAATATTAATAATCGAATCAAATATGGTTTGTTTGATAAGGATAACAAAAAAAATAAAATGCATTGCAATTATTACCTCCAGCATCACCACTCGCGTTTTTATCGGATCCACTTAACAGAGGACTCCATAAGAGCGATTTGCAAGGGTTCCGAAAGGACGTAAAATCCCGCCCACATTTGCATTTCATATTCTTGGAAGTGCTCACCAGAGAACCACCTTCTCCAAAAAGACAAGATGGACAAGCATAATACTTGGTTGGCTCAGTGTCATCAATGTTGAGTGTGAGGTTTTGATTATAACGTTCCATGGAGTTCCTTGGCTGAAGCAGCATTTGCTTGCACGTCTCAGAATTCAAATACACGGGGTCCAGATTCCCCACACTTTCATAGAGTGAGCTTATGCATCCGAATTGACAAGGCTTCGTGGTTGAATCCTTACTAACAAGTCTTGCAATAGTTCCCAGTGGCAGTGTCAAGAAGCTTAAAAGAATATCCACAAAATCCTTCCCTGCTTCAGCATAGAGCACTCTGTTTTGCTCTTTGTCCACAACAACTCTCAATGAAATTTGTTCCGGCATAGCAGTTGAAGTCATGGGAGCAATATTATTAACGCACCAGATCCAGCAAATGCTTCAGAAGCTATAACGAGGACGTAACCTATTTGAATTTGGCGTGCATGTGTGTGTGTATAGCACACAAGAAGATATATAGAACCTGTATCGGAGAGTGGCTCTCGTTATGGAGGTTATGGTTATGAACAAGGGCTCTTGAATTATTGGAAACTAATGATATGACCAAGGCTTTGTGACTCCTCCTTCTTCAACTTTCAATGAGGCTTAGTCGTTAAGTAAATGCCTGCACTCTTTTCGAAGTCAAAAGGTTCTTGCCTTCATTGCTAAGGTAAGATTTTTTGTTAAATGCCTTTTTCTGCCCATCTTCGCCTCTTTAGCTCTTCTCCAGAATTTTTAGGGGTTGCAATCAAGTAAATTATACACTTGTAATAATCGATGAAAATTAAAATTACCTAAAACATGAATAAATTATGATACTATATCTTTAGCAGTATAATATAAATATTTTCGTCACATATTTATATTTAATTTTTAAACTATATAAATCATTTTTTGAGTTGTGCTCGCCAATAGTACAAGACTTAAAAATCACCCATGGTTATATTTGTTTAGAATTTTATTAATATAACCATAATTATATTAGTGAGAAAATCATCTTACATTTTTGTTTTAAAAAGGAGTTAATATAATTTTTAGTCTCTCAAATTTGTCTTTATTTTAGTTTTGGTTCCTCAAGTTTCAAATAATAGATTTTAATCACTCAAATTTCTTTTTATTTAAAATATTAGCCTTTATAATTTAATAAAAACTTAAATCATTTTGTTTTTTGTGGGACCAAAACCTATAGTTTTAAGTCTAAGCAACTAAAATCAAAGTAAAGATAAACTTGAGGATGCTAAAAATTATATTAACCATTTTAAAAATGAGACCCCAGAAATTCAAAAGAAAACCTCATTAGCACATATCATGTCCCTTTTTTCGGCCACAACACATATCCCATAGCTATCCACGGGGCATATTGTAATATATGAACCCCATTGGTCCGTGTCTATTTTTTCGGCTGAAACCTTGGACCGTGTATATTGAATATTGAATTTTTTCATATATTTTATTACTTTCTTTTTTCTGCCAGAAATATATTATACTACATACTATAAAGTAAATAATAATAGAATAACGTGTTTAAATACCTCGAAAGTATCTCTAAAAAAATATTTAGCATGTGGATTTTTTTTGTTCTTATATGCCTAAAAAGTTTATTTTCGTAGTAAACATACATTGGTCATTATTAGCCGTTAAATTTAATTGTTAAATTATGTAATTTGACCAGCTTCTACAATGATTAAACTTAATGATGACTAACCGTTTATGACAGAAATGTTATGAAATAAAACTTTTCGAGCTTATAAGAGCTGAAAAAAATTTTAGATGCTGGACGTTCATTTATAAATACTTTCAAGATATTTAAATACCTTATCATAATAATAATTTATTCTCAGGAAGGCAACTAGATGTTAATAATTCCATATGTATTGTGCTGAAACCTTTCAGAACAACTCTATGTTGTCAACACATCATGTTTTATTTTGTGGGAGAGTGAAAAGTAGTTTGCCCATACTATTTCCAATTTTTAATATAAGACCTCGTTTGACTTTTATTTTGGTTCTAATTATAAAATCTCAATTCACTCTGTCTTTCATATTTATACATTTTTTTTCAAAGTAATTCCTCAAACAATGGTAGTTCTAGCTAATAAACTTGATTAGCAATAATATTTTAAGAAATACAACACCTATTTATTACAAATAACTAACTTAACTTATTTTCTTAATTTCATAAAATTAGTCAATTAGTTCTTATAATTAGGACCAGAGGTAGTATTTTGGCACAGTAAAAATATTCATGTGTCAATTGAAATTAATTTTTCTTCTCAAATGATCTTAAGAGATCAATCTTCGCTTTTCTACAGTTTTAAGAAAATCTTTTGTCTTGTTGATTATTGACGGCTTTTTTGTTTTTTCTCCGATTAAGCTATAATTATTAAAGGTGGCAGACGCCCCAAATCCATGAACCTTGGACTGTTACTTAGAATTTCTGTACTGCCCAACTTCTTCACTGATGCCAACAATAACAAGAACTTCTGGTTGTCCCGCATTTATGCTGAAGAAAACCGTTGTGTGGACCTTGAAAATATTAGCAGAAATATGATATTACTATCGGAGATTTCAGCGCCTACCTCCCTTCGAATGACAAGATACTTGCGTAGGCAATGAGTCTTGTAATTATGCAGCCATGGGACACATTAAAGATTGTATCGAAAAAGCTCAACTCATGGAGATACCGCTCGAGGAACGAATTGATTGGGCATTTGCGAATATATTCAATGGCATGTACTCTTTTCTGCGAAGGTAAATCGTCTCCAAAGCGGTGGCCAAGCACATTGATACGAAACATTAAAAATAAGGAATAGAGATTAAGATTACAATTAAGAAAAATAATTAGAAAAGTATTTAATATGAGTAATTACTCGTTATATGAGATTGGACAAACTAATGGAGATAGGAGTGGAGAATACAATATCATCTTCCCCCATGGTATTTTCTAATCTCATATATATGGTGTTGTCCAATCCCATATAACAAGCAATCTCTTGTGTTAAATATTTCAATAGATTTTCTCAATCTCAATCTCAATTCTTATATTTTATTTTTATTGTTCCGTACCAAACAAAACCTTAGTAAGTTCGTTAGCTACAAACCAATGCAGTTTCATAATGGGGAAGGCAGCACAGTGGTATCACTATAATAGCTCGGGAGGTAATTCACTCAATAAAGCTTTTCTTTTTTCTTTTTTTTTTTTTGGGGCGGGTTCATAGCAGACGGAGTGAACTTGGAAAAACCGTTATAGATTGGAATGGAATGTCATCCAAAAAATACTAATAGAAACTCGTGTCAGCCAAAAGCTTTATAAAATCATTGTGGTTTGTATTGAGAGTACTAATGTGCAGAGCTTGTGGAATGAGAAAAAGGGATCTAATTTCTCCATATATTTTCACTCTATGTGTGGAAAAGTTAAGCGATGTGATTGTGGACAAAATTCATAAAACGAAATGGCTCCCAATCACCTGAAAGGGGGAAAAAAAATCATCCACCTGTTTTATGAAATTCTTTTGATCTAGAGTAGGGGGTTGGGAATTCTGTGCTTGATAGGAAAGTGAAGGAGAATCACTAGGTCAAGCAAATACGTTGCGCACCAAACCACCATTATACAATTATTTATTCAATCATAAGCCATCACACTTCTTTAAAACAAAACAAGGCAGCAGAACGAAAGAGAATCAAGAAATCGGAGTACTAGTCATGTGGCTTGCAGGCTTCCGTTTAGCCAACAGTCATTTTTTTTTGCTTTCCATCTTTGTTTCCTCTTCTTCTTGACATTATTTGATAGAAATTCTTTCAGGCCAATTGTCAAAGCTGACGTTGAAACCATGGAAGCTTCAAGGATGCTCACAGCCTGCATTTGTATGCAGGAGTCTGATACAGAAGGCAAAAGAAGATTGCAGCAAGCATGCTAATAAATCTGATCACATTCAAGGGAAAACAAACCAAACCATATAACTTGTTTTTTGGTTTCAAACAAAATTTGCATCTCCTTTAATTTGTCTGTTTAAAGGTTAGAAGATACGTACCTCTCGTACCCCAGCGCAGATTGTTCTTTCTTCCAAGTCATGGTGAGGCACCTTGAATTCAGTTAAAGGTGATAAAACATCGTGAGATGATAAAGGTTTCACAGACAAGTCATCGGCAACCATGAACTTGATTTTACTTTTTGCATATCCATTACCTGATTTGTCCTC